TAAATAAACAGTTAATAAATGGTTAATGAATGAAAATCTCCTTTTAATTTTAAAACGAGAGTTAAATTTAATATCTGCAACATTAGTACTTTAAAATCTGACATATATTTTGTGCACAAGTATTCACTGAGTCAATGAAGAAATAAAGAAACCTTTATTTTTAATCCCTAGAATTTATTTTGTAGCTAGACAATGCCAGATACAACATATAGAAAGCTACGATAGAAAACTGTATCCAGAGGGCAAGTTTTCTGTTCCTCCATCAGTCAGACCCCGCATCCAGCCATAGCAGCTAGCACCATATTTTGGACTTAACAGATATTTAGTACATGTTTACTCAAAGGAACTAAATTTAAGAAGTAAATAATCTGGTTTTGGAAAAATATATATATGTATACACACACATACATACACACATAGAACAGGCAAATTAATGTCATACAAGAGTACTATATACCAATTTAGATATACATAAACACCCAATGCTTCTTTTGCATACAATTTGTTTCTTCCTCATTCCAACATACCCACTAACATACTCAGTAAATATTAACAAGAACAGCTGAACAATGTGAAAAAAATCAAAGGCACTTATTTCCTATATAATTTCTAAATGTATTTCACTATTCTGGATGAGCCAGAAGGCAGAGTAATATATTTAAGTGACAGCTCATGACTCAACTTTCTTTAAAAAAAAAGAAAAGAAAAGAAAAGAAAAGAAAAAAGCAGTATAGAAACTGAGAACTTCGATGTGTTTTGGCTTTCCTTCATCCTAATATAATGAAATGTTATCCATCGCTAATGATCAAGTTCTTTGTGTCTGCACACTTAAATTGTCATCACTGCCAGGATGGAGGAGTCCATCAAATAAATTTGCCATAGTTTGTTAAAATTACAGCCATCATACTTGAAAAGCTTTGCTTTCAGAAAATGTTTACTCTGTGTTCTGTATAAACTATGAAAGACAATATAAAATGCAGCTATGCTGGGTATGTAATCTGAATTATGAGAGGCATATAATATTTATTTCCTAGAAAAAATAAAACAGAATTTGGTCACCTATATAAATGTCATAAGTATACTTATGACAGTAACCAAATCATAAAAATATTTCCACAATTAGCAAACTGATCCAATAAAGCAATCGCTCACAATTTTCTGAAAGTAAATGATTCTAAGGAGATCATACCACCATCCAAATTTTTCAAAGACATATATTTTTCTTCCAAATTAGATTTGTTCAGTTTGGTTGCAGAATTAGTATGAGAATTCCTTGAGGGTGGGATCTGTGTTTCTATCTTTTTCTGTAGTGTTAAGTTCAATGTCTGATCACAGTTCGTGCTCCAGACATGAATCCTGAATGTAAAGTGAAAAATCTGTTCACTGATCTCACTTTTTTAGCAAACTAATATTTAATTAGCAGCCAAAAGAAACAAACATTGGCTGACATATGACACATCAGAACCAACAGCATCATTTTTATAGTTACTAATCTATATTCAATTTTTTAATCATTTCAATCTTTGAGATTTAGAAAATTTGAATGTTTCCCTGCCTTTTAAAGTCATTTCATTTCTCCAAATGAAAGAAGAAAAAAATCTTTAAAAATAGTTTCAAAGCATCCACCTTATTTCTCCCTCTTTAAAGATCTGTTTCTCTCTCTTTTAATGCAATTTACTGTTACCTAATATTTACTGATTCCTTGCTATTTACCCTCACAATATATAAATCAGATACAGGCCCTAGCTTCACTGTCTGAAATATATAAGCAATTACAATTCAATTAGTGAACAGAAGCTAGCAATATACGATTGGTAATAAGGCATATAGGCTAATAGCAAAGATTTGTGTGACTAAGATTACCCCTCAATTTTCAGCCAGTGTTTATTTATCCTGGATCAATCTCCCAGACCAGAGCCACCTAGAAAACTGCTATAAAAATGGCTTCATTTTATACTCATTTTAATTCTATACCACCTTTTATATTATAACATTGACTACCATTTCAGTTTAAGTTGTCTTCCTTACTGTTATCATTAGTTAGCAAGAGCCTATACATTACAAAGTCAATTCCTTTATCTTAGTTCAAAGTCATACAGCTAATCATCTTTAAACAAATACTTAAATGAATCAGGATTTTCTATAAATAATCTAAAAGAATCCTTGGGTAGATATTTTCATACAGGAAATCCTCCATTTGGTGAGGCCAATAACCACCACCGAATATGTCTTTCAAATATTTCATATACTGAGAGTCTTTCAAAATGGAGAATATCAACATTTTGATTAATGGCATAATATTAGGTGTTGCCAAAAAACATAAATGTCTTTTCAGTCCAAATTCACACTCAAATAGTTGCACCAACTTTATTTCTAACTACTTTTCTTCTAAAGAACTTTCTTATGTCTAAAAGAAAAAGAATAAAACAAATAACCACAGTTTTTATTAGGCATTTATCCAAAAGGATTCCACCACATGATTTATTTTAAGATCTGAACTCCGTTAGCTTATATTTTACTGTATTCAGCGCAGAATAACTTTGTGGGAATATTCAGTATGTATCTAATTTATTCACAATTACTCAAACACATCTTGTTACATATTGGCCTATATATGATTCCTTAAAAAAGAAAAACTGGTCACTATATAATAATAATTAGGTCGGACTATCTGTCTTCAATGTGACTAGAGTAAAAGAAATATATGATTTAGAAAGTAATTCTGAAGGTAATGCAAAGTAAAATGTGAACTTTATTATAAAACTCAAAATGCCCATTTACCTTATTTAAAATTGTTTAAACAAATATTTATTTTAACAAATAAAACTGTCAAAATTAATTCACAAAAGCCTATCTAAATGAGCGAAAGGGATCACTTTTGGGGTATTGAAAATATTCTAAAACTGAGTAGTGGTGATAAATGCACAACTCTAAATTTACCAAAAATTGAATTTTACACTTAAAATGAGTGTATGTCATTATACCTCAATAAAACTATTTTTTAAAGCCGATCTGAACCATTAAGTACATAAATCTTTGTATTTTTTCATATAGTATTGACCCATGCTTCCATAAAACTAATTATTACAGTTGAATTGTCCTTTAAAAAAGAATCAACTAGTAGGAATTTGTTTGATTTATTAAAATTAACATATTCTGAATTCTAGCCTTGACCAGATGTAAGCAGAATTAGGAGATTGGCAATTTTGTTATAGAATGAGTATCCTATTTCAAATAATTTATGAACAGCCTAATTCATTTCTCTATAATCATCAACTGTATTGGTCACTCTGTAGACAACACTTTTTTAAAGGGTGTTGTTTAAAAAATTAAATAAGAGGGAAAAAAAGCTCTGAAGTTGCACCAATTGTCCATCCCTCTTTTCCTTGTTTACTTTTTCATCATCCCTAGGTTATTCCAAGATAGACAAGGTGAGCGATGAAGAAGAAAATGTTAATAATTTTTCTTAGACAATGGCTTGGCTGAGATGGACCTGCATGTTTTCAGTTAGCTGGCTGTTTCTCACAGAGGAAGCTGCCAGAAATTTTGTCTGTTTAGTTTACTGATATATTCCAAACACTAATAGCGCCTGGCACACACACGCCTTCCATTAAAATTTTATTATCGTCTTTTTTTTATCAAGCTGGGTCTTAAAGTATCATCTAAATAAACAAATGCAATTTCAGGCAGTCTTCAGATATGTCACAGTCTCTTTCCTCATTAGAAACAGACTGGCTCCTCATTAAAGCAGTTTCTTCCAAGGCTAACTCTTAGATGAGGGTGGCAGGAGAGGGAATGGGATAGGAGGGTAAAGGTAGAGAAAAAGGAGTTCTTCCTAAAATGCAAAAATAGGCTTGAAAATCTACAAGCATTACTGGCTTATATGTGGTCAATTTTACAAGGAGAATCTGCCTCAAGGTCAAAATCGAAATACACATGTGGCAAGTTCAAGCTGACCAAAATGGCTGTTTGAAATCCACAGTAATTTTAAACCAAAACATACTCAATATTTAATCCAAACAGTTAGAACCTCCTACTTTTTTTTTCCAACAATAAACAAATATGTAACAGATTCTATAGAAAAATTCCTGATACACAAGCTAATGCCAACTATACCACATCTCATATTGCAAGAGTAGATAACTATAAGCAGAACTTAACTTTCTTTTCCTAGGAGATATTAGGGAAATTCAAAAGATGCAAGTACATGGATCATTTCAAAACTTTTAAGCATTGATGGCACCAGGAATTCATTCTATTTTCATTTTAAAGTGTATGACTTTGTTATTTACACCTTTGCATAAAAAGCATTAGTCTTACTTTCATTTATAATAATTTATGATTTTGGATTTTCAAATTGAGGGAGAGATATAAATACACTTCCCTAAGTTAGAGGGGAAAATGCAAGGAGATTTCAAATGAGCAATCAATGATCAAACCATAAAAATAAAAAAAAGATAAGAGAAAATGGAAGAAGGTACCAACAACTAATGATTCATGACAACTTGACTTTAAAAACATGGAAGAAGAAGGTAAAGAAAGACAGTGGACACTCAAAATTAAGTAGGAGTAAAGTAGTAAACAAAGAGATTTACACATTGGAAAGATTTTTGTTAACAAACACAGGCTTTCTTTCCTCTCACTGATAACTTAACATGATCTATTTCCTCCTGGTGGACCAGAATCCCGTGACTTACTCTCCTCAATAGAAAAACTCAACACGATCTTTATTCCATCTCTAAATCAAGATTAAAACATGAATTTCACAAAAATGTTAGTTCCTGCCATGTTTTCTCACTGGTGTTTCTGGCAACTCATCAAATTTGATCGTATTACATAACTATGACAGACTATGGTTTTATAATTATAAGTAAAATTTACTTTTTAAAACAATGATTCCTTGTGAATAAAATGATTGAATATATAATTTACACATATGAATTTCAACCCTTAAAGATAATTTAACAGAGACTGGAAAGTCTATAGGTTATTTCTCTTACCATTCAGTAAACAAGACAACCAGATCCTCTTGACTGGCATAATGTTCCATAACTTCTTTCATTAATCTGACTTTCTGGCCCCCTCCAATACTATTAATTCCATCACCACCTCTCCATTCTTCTCCTTGACCAAGGACCTATAAATGAAAACAACATTTCACCCCTGAGCAAAATTCAAATGATGACAGTATCCTAAAAACTGGAAGTCATCGGCAACTTGCATAGTATTACACAGTAACCACTCTGTAAATGGTTCACTAAATCATGATACTAGAAAGAAAACAACCTGATCCCTAAGTCAGGTCATAATTCTTCAGTGTTATCCACCCTATAAAATGTCATTTCCAATTTTGCCATTTCAGAAGTAAAATATAAGGGGGGGGGGGCAGCGAGGGGCACAGAAGGTATTTTTCTTATTTTATTTCTACTTTATATGATGAACACTGAAAGCCCTGGGTGCTCAATGACTCCGGACAGGCTCTTAAGAAATTTTCCCACTGAACCAAAATGGGCTGTTCAGGGAAACACAGAGGGCATCAAGTCTAATATCATCTTCTTTCCCTCATCCATCACCCTCAAAAGTTTAACAGTAATGCATCAGTGCGAGTCACTGGCTGAGCACAACTAAGCAGGACTTGGGCTTGGGGCCGTGCTTGTCACTGTTGGCTTTGGCCTTGGCCTTGGCCTTGGCCTCTGCCAGCTGATCCCCAAATGTGTGTGCTGACACACCGAGCTGTGAGTGAGCAAGAAGTGCGCCCCCTGCTGGAACAGATGCCTTTCATCTTTGTTTCATCAAAAGAAAGCCAGAAGTCCCCGAAATCATGGTATACTAGGACATCTGTGAAATTAAGGAGGAATAAAATTTCAAATAAACACAGAAGAAAAGGATAAAATAAATATTATTAGTTCCAATTTTACCTGACATTGAGCCCAATAGAAACCTGGCTGGCAAAGCCCGGTGGGCTCCCAGCCTCAGCTTTCTAGGTACCACTTCCTCACCACCTACACTGAAGGTTGCAGGAAAAGGGTAATCAAGAAAATTCAGACTCCTGTGCGTCTGGATTCCTATAGGGGCTAGCCTAGTACATGGATTCGTTTTTGCGCTAAAAGGTGGCCTCCTCTGGTCCTGAGGTTTACCACACTTTATTCGACAAACCTTCTGGAATTCTCCAGTACCGCGTAATACCGTGCACCACCACATCTGAGAGCCTGTCTGTACCGTACACTATTTTTGGCTCCATCTCTGGTTTTGTTCCACCAAATCAATGTGTCACACCTGAGGTTGCATCTGATTTCATGGAGGGCTTATGAAAACACAGACTGCTGAGACCTGCTGCCCACGTCTGTGACTCAGCAGGTCTGAGGTGGGGCCTGAGAATCTTTACTTCTATTTCCCAGATAATGCTGATGCTAGTGGTCAGGGTCTGTACCTGGACAGCCACTGCATTTCATGATGGGAAGACAGCAGGAGGATTCATAACTCCTGTCAGTCAAACAGGACTGGGTCCAAGATTGGACACTTTATAGCTCCGTACCCTGGGGCAAGTTTTCCTCACCCATAAACAAAGTAGTATCTACCTTACAGCATAGCTTACATACAGTTCCTAACATGGTGCCTCACACGCAAAAAACATTCCATGCTCTCCCCAGTCTGAACCTTAACTATCCCCTTCATTGGATTTCAGCATTATTTTACCCTGATTTTTCTGCTGTTTTCATTGTGTCTCCCATCAGTGCATACTACTATATTTCTCCTCGATCCTAAGAAACTTCTATCATATTTTTCCTTTATCCTTCATTAAACATCTAGCTGTTAACACTAGATCTCTTTTCCAGCAAAAAAAGTTTAGCCTCTTTAATAGCTGTTTTATATTAACATCTGAACCTAATCTTCTAATAGTATCGTAGTAAATACTACCTTCTTTCCACATTACATACAAGAACAGCTCAGCTTTTCTCTAGGCAAAGCAACCCCTGCCCCTTTTCTTACTTTTTTTTTTTTTACTTGTTTGTTTGTTTTCCTACCTGGGATTCCTCCTAATTCTCCACTTATTTGTGGAAAATATCTGGCTAACAGGTCCTCATTTCTGTTAAAAAATAAATAAGTTAAAAAAAAAAGAAAAGGCCTTTCACAGCTCAGTTTACTAGTTCTACCAAATTCCTCGTTTCCTCTGATCATTTATCAATGAGATATTCCCCTGGACAAAAGTCTTCTAAAACCTTTTTATATTTTTTAATGTTCCCAAATCCCTTTAAAACAAACAAACAAAAAACAGAAAAAACAACTCTCCATAATGAGACAGAAAAGGTATCCCTTTCAGCCATGTTTCCAATTCTCAGTAAGCAAAGAAGCACTATGGCAGACAAACCCATTACAGGAAAAAATCCTTCTAAGTGAAAAAGAATACTATAGAATCTTAGTTATGTTGTGCTTATACCTGACCACCTCCCCCCGCTCAAAAAAGGAAATATAAATGTAAAAATATACAAACATATTTTCCTGTTATTTTATAATCAAGTTTATAAAAAGCATTAGCAAGCATTAAGAAATTATTGTCTGCGAGGCAGAAAATTAATAAGGCCAAATGTATCTTTAAAACAACCAAGTATATATAAATTAACAGCAATTGTGTAACCAAATTTCATCTTCCTTCACTGGATTGCAGATTGTGCTGTTGTTGTTAAAAAAAAAATGTACTTTAGGCATATAATTTAACATCTCCATGAATTAAATGACATACTGTACCTTCACAGTATAATTGAAGTATTTGGCTGACTGCATAAATCGATGGAATCCATCACTTTCTTTTGTTGCTACAGTTATGACTAATAATTTATCTGCAAAGACAGAAAGAAATAACATAAGGTGGTTTCCCAAGAAGTCAAATGCTCCCACTTTACAACTCACTCTAGTGATTAGAAACCTCATTAAACCCATGGGAAGGCTCTGGTTTGTTAATCTACATAAGGCTAAACAAAGAGCTATTGAAAAAACAGGCAACTCAAATTGGTTACACTACTGACAAATGATGAACCATCAAATAATGAATCAGTTTGATGGTAAGAAAGTACATTAGTATTTCAAGAAAAGCATGCCCTTCATGGAGAATTTCAACACTAAAAGAAACACTTCCATAAAATAAACAGTTTTTAATGTGTGAAAAGACTCTCTTAGATATTCTAATCAATCAGCTTCATTGTTACCCAGGAATCATCACTGATTTATTACACTCATCAGTGAGGTCTGGAAGCACATTATATTACTCAAAATGCTAACATGCACAAAAAGAAAAAAATCCAATCCGATTGATCCTAATATTTTAAAATAAATTATGATGAATTGGGAGTAAATATTTAGAAACAGACTCTTAATTTTTTCCTCCTATTAATGATTTTTTGTATATGAAAAATCTGTAAAAGCAACAGTTACATCTCTTCAGGGCTTTGTTTTTTCTTTAAAGAATAAAAGGAACCAAAATTAGCACTGCCCTAGTAAGTACACAGCTTTTAGTCACCATTTTATATTGCATTATTATTTTTAATCCAACATAACACTCCTTCATAGTAGAAGTAGATAGATTTAAGGTGTCATTCCAAAATACCTATACGAGCTATGAAAAAAAAATGTTTATTAAGAGAAGACATTGCAAAACGCATTAAAGAAACAACTGCATCAGCAAATGCCAAAGGTGCTAGGATATTAAAAATTAAAAAAAAATAAAAAAAACAACCCTGAGGCCTTAGGAGGACCAGTAGACTAAGAAAACAAAACTAAAATCTTTTCGACATTCTAGGCATTGACTGAGCTTTATCATTTGATTCTCACATGTCTATTAATCAACTAGAAAAAATTTAGGTCTTCAGTGTCCCCTAAGCAATAG